ACGACAACTGAGCCTTAGGTAGACCTACATTCAACAGGAGAGAAGAATCCGATAACTTTCTTATAAGAAAAGGTAAGTACATGATAAGTAAAACTTACCATGATTTTTGGCCTTCCACCCAAATTTCAGGGACAACTTTTTCCACGAGCGGGTTTCAGGCGCAGTAACGTCTAAAATGTTTCTGAACCAATCGGTCGAAGCCCTCAACCCTAGGAGGAACCCACTGAGTCACTGAGGCAGGTAAGGAAGAAAAGTTAATAATGAAGAGAAAATGATCTTTAACAAGAGTAGAAGCAAAATTTATGCTTACGAGTGTGGTTCCACAATTTCGGGAAGGAAGGTGCCGAGGCCGGGATGATGTCACTGGTGGAAACGGAAACAAACCGTTCCATCCACCCCTGATCGTTATCATCATTCATGCTGGATAGAAATGCATGGTGGCCTTGCTTGCTAAAGTTGATCATCTCGCCATGAAAGATCTTGGGGGAATAAAGGTTCATCACATGAGCTAAAGATTGCTCCTCCCTCGTTTCCTGGCACAAACGCCTGATAAGTGGGGATATTGACTGCTTATTAGCACCTTTTAACTTTAGTTTTAGTCTAAAAGCATTGAATTGTGTTCTCGAAACTAATAAAATTATGCAAAAATTGTAGGAATGCTGAAAATTGGTCTCCCGAGATTAAATCTAACTCAAAAAGGAGTAGTCCGAACAATAAGGCAATAAAGGATGCAGAAGCACAAATGTGCGGTCCGCAGAAGAAATTGCGTACCGGAGAATTCCATCGGCGTCCACAAATAAAGAAGAAAAATCTAGTAGACATTTGCGCAAAGTGCGGACAACAAATGAATTATGCAGCCGCAAAGCCAGGCTAAGAGTGGAAGATCAGAGAGTATGCAAAAAGACCAAGTCCAAGAGCTTCTGTGAATTGCGGACCGCACAAGATTTATGTGGCCGCAGTCCTAATTGTGCGGACCACAGAAGTATTGTCTTGCGGCCGCAGTCCAGAAATGTGCGACCGCAGAAAATGCCTCGTGCCCCTATTTCAGAAATGTGCGGCCGCAGAACTCTAATTCCTGCCAGATGAAGAAATCTGCAGACCGCACATGGAATTGTGCGGCCGCAGAACTCTAATTCCTGCCAGATGAAGAAATCTGCAGACCGCACATGGAATTGTGCGGCCGCAGAACTCTAATTCCTGCCAGATGAAGAAATCTGCAGACCGCACATGGAATTGTGCGGCCGCAGAACCTCCCGAGGGGCATTTTTGTCTCAAATTTTCAGCCTTGTATAAATAGACGAGTTTCACAAAATGAGGTCAAGTTTTGAACATAGAAAGTTGTTGTAGCCGTTTCTGTTTGCTATTTTAGGAAGATTTAGCTTATTTGATTATTTTAACACTAGATTTCATCATTTTAATCTTCCATTATGAGTTTTATTAGCTTTTCATCTTTATTTTCTTCAAATCCCATAATGAGTAGATAGATTTTTACTAGGGTTGTGACCCAAACCTATTGTGTAAACCTTATGGGTGATTAATTTTATGCTTGTTTATGATTGGGTATTGATTATTTAGCTTAGTTCATACTTTAATTTTAGAATTAATGGTTGCAAACATTGATTCATGCCTATTTGACTTAGTCTCTATTTGAGAAAGAGGGACCTAGTCTAGGATAACTAAGTTAACAAGGAATTGGGTCGATTGAGAGATTGATTAACCCAGTTAAAGGGTTCAACCTAGAGATAGCAATAACCCGACTTGAGCTCTTATCAACTATTTTGGGTGATACCCATTTGGTCTTGAGAAAGCCAAATTGGGTAAAATCACTCTCTGACTGAAAGGTATTGAGTGTGTAACTTAGAGTTGAGAACTATAATACACCCCAATCGACAAAACAAGCATTAAAGTCTTTATCTCATTAGGCAAACACCTAGGTCATGGTCATGGTCATAGCCCTAGGCTTTTTATCCATTTGGAAAACCCTTAAAAACAATTATCTCTAGTCTTTTTTCTTTATTTTGCAATCATTAGAGTAACATTATAAATTGAAAACAAATCTTTGTTGTGGAAGTGCAATATAGATAATCCAATTGCGCAAATTGAAATATATACCCCTAACTCCCATCTTAGCTCCCTGTGGATTCGACCCTGATTCTTAGTTGGGTTTCAATTATTGCATACGACCGTTTCATATCTCTATTGAGGTGTGCTTTGGACGTGATCAATTTTTGGCGACGTTACCGGGGAGTTAAAAACGGTGTTAGCTATATATTTGGGTGTATTATTGGAATATCTTCTTTTCCTTCCGTGTTACTAACTTGTTTGATAAATCCGTAGGTACAACCATGGCAAATAATGAGCTCGAAAATATTGCTTTGGGGGATGTGGACGTCGAGGATGAGAAAGTTGATGAGGTTTATCTTGAGCCTCAAGCCAATAGAAGAGGCCGGGTGCCTCATGACAATGTCCCCGTTCCAACCCCACCACCACCACGAGCGGCTCCACATCGGGTGTTACCCAATGAAGGATATGCTAGTGCAATAGTCCCTCTCCGTATTAGGACGGGCAACTTTCAAATCACCAATGTGATGCTCACTTTGCTTAAGCAACAAGGTTTCTTCACCGGTGCACCAAGTCAAAATGCATACAAACATTTGAAGAGATTTGTGGACACTTGTTGGGGGAACAAACAAATAAATGTCTCCGAGGATGCATTGAGGCTAATGATTTTTCCTTTCTCTCTACGGGGGAAAGCTTTAGATTGGTTGGAACGTTTTCCGAACCATTCCATTCACACTTGGGATGAGTTGGCGGAAAATTTTATTTTTAAGTTCTTCTCTCCGGGGCACATGGCTACTTCGGGATGATTTTGGCATTCAAGTAAAAGCCAAATGAACCACTACATGAGATATGGGAATGCTATAGAACAATGGTTAAGGAATGTCCCAACAATGATATGGTGAAGAATATAATTCAACAAAATTTCTATCGTGGGATCAACACAACCAACCAATGTGTAGTGGATCAACTTGCCGGTGGGAACTTCATGACTATGCCTTATGCTGAGGCGTGTGAGATTTTAGATGAAATGGTGGAAACATAATCGGTATGGAAATCCCGGGCTAATGTTCCACAAGGTGATCCCAACATAATCCACCTTCACAAAAAATTGCATGACCATGGGCAAGCCATTATCGAATTGACTACTACCATGAATCAATTAGCAAAGGCTCAGCTTCAACAAGTGCAAAATCCTAAGCAAGTCAATGCCATGGAGGGAGTGAACATGATGGTGAACAAAAGAAGGACCAAGGGTCCATAAGTGCAACATCGAGTGGAGAATTATGTGCAAGAGGATAGTGGTTTTGATCAAGACGATTCTTACAATGAACAAGAAGAGGAGGTGCAATATGTTGACATTTAGTGGCGCGACTTAGTTGCCACAAAATGATAAGCCATCAGTGGAAACTCTAATAACGCTACTGAATAGTGGCAACACTACTGACAATGATAAGCCATTAGTGGCAACTCGCCATTAATATTACTCTAGTAGCAACTGAATACTAGAGTTTACTCTAGTATTAATAGTAATATTAATCTAGAAACTGATTAATATATAAGTTTAAGATCATCCAATAGTATTTAATAAACACCAAAAGAATTTCCTAAACCAAATACTAAATACTTCCATTACTAAAAGTTCAGTTACATAGATACTATGCAATACTTCATTGTCATTGTACACATATACATATAACCAAAAAGCAAAATTTTGAGTGCCTTAGCTTCAAGCTCCTCCGCATATACACTACGTAATACTTCATTGTCATTGTACGCATATACATATAACCAAAAAGTAAAATATTGAGTGCCTTAGATTCAAGTTCCTCCGCATATATACTACGTAATACTTCATTGTCATTGTACTCATTTATATATAACCAAAAAGCAAAATATTGAGTGCCTTAGCTTCAAGTTCTCCTTCATTGTCACAACTGTTTAAGAACCTTGTCCCTATTATTAAAGAAAAAAATACAACATAACATTGTTAGAGCATGAAGATAACATCAAGGTGAAAAAAGATACAGATAAGAACATTAGGTCGAAGAAGCGACTTAAACTTCAATTTGAAGATGAGACATTTAGACCCCCTATTTGGCGAAGAATGACTAGATCATCTAATTTGCAATTAAAAGAATTACTACTTGATCTTTGGCCACTTAAATATCATTTGTTTCTGGCAGGAAGCAGCTATTAACTTGAAACTACCAAGAAGAAGTCTATTAGTGACGTTCACATGTAATGCTTGTGGTGTTCGATCACAAAGACTAATAAATAGATTAGCATATGAAAGAGGGACAGTGTTCATACAAGTACTTGGTTTGAGTGTGTGCAGTGTTGTTAAGCTTCTGATAATTGCAAAGCCAAGCTAATCTTTTTATGATTAATAGCAAAACCAAAATAACTTCCCTTAATTGTGTATGTTCACCAAGATTTGTTAAGGCTAGAACTGTTAGATGGGTGATTTAACCGTTGAAGGTATTAATGGGTAATCGTCTTACTAGAACTTGTTTTGTACAATGTTGCATTTATTCTCTTCAATTGGAACTGTTTTTTTCTAAAACATTTGGCTAAATATAAGCTTGCAAGTATTGATTGGAATATCTGAGCCAACTCAATTGTAAGAGACATATGGGATCTTTCAACACTACCTTACTGCGTGAATAAAATAACTTTTAGCTCATGCACATTTATCTATTGTGACTTTCCTTCAGTAGTATGTTGGACGCTAATGTTGATCGTATACTTCACATGTATGATTCAGACTTAACAACTACAATTCCAAGATTTAAGTATTTGACATCTTGTTTGCATCAGTACTTCTAACAATTGTCTTAAGTGAAATAATATCGCCTACAACTCTTTGTAGTCCAAATGTTGTAGGCGATAGTAGTACTTTCTACACCAAACTATCCAACTATAAGAAAAGTCAATTTATCTTTTACTTATCCAAAAAAGTCACTATGTTCATATCCAAAAGGGCTTTTAAAACACTGTCTTTAAATCTCTGTCTACAACTATCCAACTGTAGGAATATTTTCAACCTGACCATTACCACTTGGTTGATCAACAAGGATCCAAACTCTATTGCAACAATGTGCCTCATAAAAGAAGGTATTTTATCAAACACATTATATTCCTCACAAAAGATATGAAGAGAAGAATTTCCAAGAAGGAACCAAAATTCAAGAAAAAAAGAAGAAGAATAGTCAAGAAGGAAGGAAGAGTACAGAAACATTAAGAGTAGATCACTTGTTGCATTCCAGTCATGATAGCAGCCAGTTGTTCTTGAATCCTCTTGGCTACTTCTACACTGATCCGGTTGTCTACTTCCACATTCACGTACTCAAGTTTCTCTTCCAACTTCCTTTGCAACTCTTGCTCCATGTTACTTCTTAATTCGGCAGCCATTTGTTCACGTTTTTCTTACAACTTTCGACTCATCTCAGCTTGCATTTCAGCTTGCATTTTTTGACGTACAGTTGCCATAGCAGAAGACACATTAGCCTCTAAGTTTGCTGCTTGAATGTGACTCTTTTTTGGAGGATTCTTTCTGTACCCTTTACTATGAACATAGCTTGTTCTTTCACCGAGAACGAAGGATAAAATCTCATCTCTAGTCATGGGATGCTCGTTCTCTTCAGATTGTTGCTGATCTACTAGTTCCTGTAGTTGGCCCTACAATTAAGCGTAGTCATTTACAGTAAAAAAAAACATAAAAAGATAAGAATGTAGTGATTTAAGAATATTACATGAATTTGTTGGGATTGTGGATCCACCCACACAATTTCTCCATTATCATTTTTATGTATATATTGGATCTCCCAAACTCGATCTGGTGTTTCTTTTTCTCCAGTGGCAGGATTTTTCTACAATATAGTTCAATAGGAAACATAAATAATCAAATAAATTAATAGACATGTAACAAGAAGTATGTATGATAGCATGATAATAAATATATTTTCACCGCCGATTCCTCTACTTCTACAAAAGACCTTATACCACAAGTATGCTTAGTTATCTGCTTTTCCATGTTCTTTCTATTTCTCTCACTTACAGCCTGCACTAAATCAACAGATTATGAAACTATTATTCAAAGAGTAGTGAACCAAACACTATTATTAAGTTACCTTAAATTCAGAACTTCCAAAATATTCTACTAGGTATTTCCAGTCCTCGAGCTCAACATCTTCAGGTCGATGAGATAATATAATTCTATCAGCAATGTGGCGAGAGTAGTGACTGGTCAATCGAATTTTCCATGCTCTAAAAAGTCTTTGCATAGTACTGATGACCAAGGCTTGCAACACACGCTCTCGCACACTGCCAAGAACTTCAAACTTATCCTAAACATATATAAATGTAAAATTATATTGATTTTAACTACAATAATAAACCATGTAATTTGAAGCCAACACAGTATTGAAAATAACTTGTTACCTTAACTATTAACCACATTATTTCTCCATTTTTCGAAACAATCTTTTGCCAATACCCATCCCGGAATGAGATAGTGCTCCTCATGATCAAACCACAGTAATTAACAATATCTCTTGCCCCAGCACCTACTGCTCTATCAATGTCATCTGGGATCGTAATTGTGATTTTTCCGCCGTAATTAGTTTTAATATCTACAGTTTTAGATTTATATTTTCCTCTTCCTCTATTTTTGTTCGTGGAAGAAACTGCAAAGGAAACAAAAATTTACTGAGAANATATATGTGTGTGTGTGTGTGTGTGTGTGTAGTTACATTAAAGGGAAAAATAAAAAACTAACATGCACTACCACTTTTAGCTTCTGGAGAAAGATACGCACTTCTATCCAGATTTCTTGATGAAACGGTCTCTATAGAAGGTCTTTGCAATTGGTTGCTTGATATCTGTCATGTCTCTATAGGTTCTTGACAATGATTATTTGATTCTCCTATCTCTAGGGATGCTCTAGTATTTCCCCTTAGCTGCAATTGTAGTTGAAACGTCGCTCCTGAATTGCTACGTCCTTGAAAATGGCCACGTCCACGGCCCGTTTCACCTCGACCTTTGCCACGTCCAATTCCTGTCATGTTGAACCTCCTGCATGATATAGAAAAATATTAGTAAGAACCAAGGCACAATTAGGGTTAAGATCTTATCATTATACATAAAAAATTAAAATTAAGCTTAGTGCACATAGAAGGCAGGTAACAATTCAATTCACAAAAGCTTAATAGATAACTAGTTATGAAATTAAAGTTACAATCATCATGATTAATGTCATCATCAGTTTAATAACGAGTAAGATACAGAGAACTTTTTAAAATAAAATGATATATCTAACTACATCCGTTTTTGCTTCTCAATCATCAAAAGCATCATCAGTGTCTTCTCCATCACCAAGTAAATCTTCTTCGCTTTCTTCATCATCAGATACATCTATATGATTGCCATCAATGAAACTCATATTCCTCTTCATGCATACTTATCTGAGCTTGTATGCTTGCATCAATACTTTATGGTTCAACATCGTCTCTATGTAAAGCCACATCGATATTATTTTCCTAGTCATTGGTTTGCAAAATATTCAATTCAACTTCCTCTTGTTGATAAGCTTCTTCATTCAGTAATGCTTCATCTTCAACTTCTACAGAATTATCATCAACTTCAGGCATATTGAAAAGGTCGCAAGGATTTGTCTCTACAACGACAAGCCAATCTTTATCAACCATGTCTTCTAAGTAGAAGACTTGTTCAGACTGAGATGCCAACACAAATGGCTCATTAGTGTTCAAGGAACAATGAGTATTTACACTTGTAAAGCCATATTTGTCAATCTTATATCCTCTTCCTAAGCGAGCCACATCCCACCAATGATACTTGAATAGGTAGAACTTCCTATTTCCCGCATATGACAACTCATAAATGTCCTCTAATACACCATAATACTCCTTATTAGAATCTGAATCATCTCCTTTTACAAGGACTCCACTGTTCTGAGTTTTTCTTCTCAACTCAAGATCTTTTGTATGGAATCTGAATCCATTGACTACAAATCAAGAATATCGATGCACCATTGGTGCAGGACCAACGGCTAAGCTTATGATCTCATCATTTGCGCGTCCTTGTGCAAATAATATAAAGCTTTACAAAGACAAACAACACCCTTGTGACTAATAACACTATGTGATAATTACACTAATATTAAAATTATCATTTAACTCGACACATACACGTGCACGAAACCAATCAAGAAACTCATTGTTAGGCCCGTCTCTCCTTGAACCATGTCTTTCAATCTCTTCCTTGTATTCCTTATATTTTGATAATGGAGTTCGTTAAGACAGTGTATTCAAACCATTTTAATGTGAGCCTATCTTAGAATTAATAATTAACTTACTCATTGAATGGTGAAACCTCTTCACAATTTTGAAGCACATACATACAAGCTTGTTTGAACTCATCATGAGATAACCTGATGCCTTCTGAACCACCTTTTGTTTGCTCACTTTTCTTAAAGATAGACATCTCACCATTTGACACGGAACCATCATCATTTCTAGCTGGTTTATTTAACTTGGTTGAGATATTCTTTAAGTATCGTGAGCAAAATATGAAACTTTCCGTTGCCAAATAACCTTCTACAATCGAACCTTCAGGACGAGCATTGTTGCGGACATATGACTTTTGTGTTCGCAAATACCTATATGCAAATGATTCATTAATGTAATGTGTCATTAACAAATATGGCATTTTTATTATAGAACACATTACCTCTCAAAAGGATACATCCATCGAAATTGAGCTGGTCCACCAAGTTTTGCCTCTCTTGCCAAGTGAATTGGCAAATGAACCATGACATCAAAAAATGCCGGAGGAAAAACAATTTCTAGTTTGCATAATGTGCATGCACATTCAGCCTCCAAGATATCAAGACCTTCAATTGTCAAGGACTTAGAGCATACATTTTTGAAAATTTTGCCTAGTTTTATAATTGGTTCACACTTCCTTAGGCAATAAGCCACGTATTGCAACTGGAATAATGTCTTGCAATAATACATAGTGATCATGACTTTTCAATCCATAAATCTTTTTTTCAAGTACGTTGACACACCTTGAAATGTTTGATGAAAAGGCATCAGGAACCTTCAATATTAGCCAAGAAATTGCATAACTTCAACTTCTCTGCTGAGGACAATGCATAACATGTTGCAGGTAATAATACATTATCCCCATCCTCTATCGGATGCAACTCTTTCCTAATACCAAGGTCTACCAAATTATATCTACTTTTTAGTGTGTCCTTTGTCTTTTCAACCATATTCATCACGGTTGATATAATATTATCAGACGCATTTCTCTCAATGTGCATTACATCAAGGTTACGCCGTAACAAAAAGTACTCCAATAAGGCAATTAAAAAAAAAACTTTTCTTCCTCCAATTGTAAGAACTTTTTGGAAAATCATGATTTCGCTTTTTTCCCTTCCCATAACTAATATTTCCCAACCCTTGTAATTGTATAAGTGCTTCATCGCCTATTAAAGGATTAGGTGCAACCCCATTTTCTACCTTCCCATCAAATTTCCTCCTATTTCGGCACCATGGATGATCTATTAGGAGAAGGCGACGATGACTCATATAACACAACTTATTACGTAAAGAAACTAATTTTGTGTCTTTGTGGCAACAAGGGCATGCAAGCTTGCCTTTCGTTGACCATCCTGAAAGGTTTTCATACGCAAGAAAGTCATTAATCGTCCACATGATAGTTTCACGCATCTTAAAATTAGATTTTGAGTATGCATCATAAGTTTCCACTCCATCTCATAATTCTTTTAACTCTTCAATCATTGGTTGTAAGTATACATCTATATCATTACCTGGACACTTGGATCCTGGAATAAGAAGTGTCATCATAAAATATGAATCCTTCATGCAATCCCATGGTGGCAAATTATATGTAGCTAGTAAGACTAGCCAAATACTATGATTGGCACTCATGTTACCAAAAGGTTGGAACCCGTCACTTGCTAATCCTAATCAAATATTTCTTAATTCAGCTGAAAAGGTGGGATGTCGCTCATCAAAGGATTTCCAGGCAATGGAGTCGGACAGATGTCGCAAGATACCATCATCAATATTTCCCTCCTTGTGCCACCTCATCTTTTTTGCTGTCTCTTTTTCAATTGTCAAGGACTTAGAGCATACATTTTTGAAAATTTTGCCTAGTTCTATAATTGGTTCACACACTTCCTTAGGCAATAAGCCACGTATTGCAACTGGGATAATGTCTTGCAATAATACATGATGATCATGACTTTTCAATCCATAAATCATTTTTTCAAGTACGTTGACACACCTTGAAATGTTTGATGAAAAGGCATCAGGAACCTTCAATATTATCCAAGAAATTGCATAACTTCAACTTCTCTGCTAAGGACAATGCATAACATGTTGCAGGTAATAATACATTATCCACATCCTCTATCGGATGCAACTCTTTCCTAATACCAAGGTCCACCAAATTATATCTACTTTTTAGTGTGTCCTTTGTCTTTTCAACCATATTCATCACGGTTGATATAATATTATCAGAAGCATTTCTCTCAATGTGCATTACATCAAAGTTATGCCGTAACAAAAGAGTACTCCAATAAGGCATTTGAAAAAAAAAAAATTCTTTCTCCAATTGTAAGCACTTTTTGGAAAATCACATTTTCACTTTTTTCCCTTCCCATAACTAATATTTCCCAACCCTTGTAATTGTATAAGTGCTTCATCACCTATTAAAGGATTAGGTGCAACCCCATTTTCTACCTTCCCATCAAATTTCCTCCTATTTCGGCACCATGGATGATCTATTAGGAGAAGGCGACGATGACTCATATAACACAACTTATTACGTAAAGAAACTAATTTTGTGTCTTTGTGGCAACAAGGGCATGCAAGCTTGCCTTTCGTTGACCATCCTGAAAGGTTTTCATACGCAGGAAAGTCATTAATCGTCCACATGATAGTTGCACGTATCTTAAAATTAGATTTTGAGTATGCATCATAAGTTTTCACTCCATCTCATAATTCTTTTAACTCTTCAATCATTGGTTGTAAGTATACATCTATATCATTACCTGGACACTTAGGTCCTGGAATAAGAAGTGTCAACATAAAATATGAATCCTTCATGCAATCCCATGGTGGCAAATTATATGTAGCTAGTAAGACTAGCCAAATACTATGATTGGCACTCATGTTACCAAAAGGTTGGAACCCGTCACTTGCTAATCCTAATCGAATATATCTTAATTCAGCTGAAAAGGTGGGATGTCGCTCATCAAAGGATTTCCAGGCAATGGAGTCGGACAGATGTCGCAAGACACCATCATCAATATTTCCCTCCTTGTGCCACCTCATCTTTTTTGCTGTCTCTTTTGCCATATACAATCTATGAAGCCTTGGTTTGATTGGAAAATATCGCAATACTTTACAAGCTACGTTATTTCCTTTCTGTTCGTCTGACTTTCATCTAGACTTACCACACTTAGGACATGATTGAGCATTGGCATAATCGCGCCAATATAAAATACAATCATTCTGACATGCATCTATTTTGTTGTACCCCAAGCCTAGGTCACGAAGAACTTTCTTCGCTTCATAGAAAGAATTTGGTACAAATGACCCCTCCGGAAGAATTTCTTTCAAAAAGCTCAACAATGCATCCATCGATTTGTTGCTCCAATGGTTAAGGCACTTCAAATGAAGTAGTTTAACAACAAAAGATAACTTTGAGACTTTACTACAACCAGGATAAAGTTCTATCTAGGCATCTTCTAATAATTTATAGAACTTTGTTGCATGTATATTTAGCTCTTCATTATCCTCTGAAACATTATTATCATCCGCCACATTAGTATAACCACAAGCATCGTGAATCATTTCTGTAATATTATCCACTTCAATGCTATCATCTCCTACTTCATTATTGCGTGCTACATTAGAATTTTTACCTCTAACTAACACTTCTCCATGCAAGTCCCACACTTTATAAGAATCCTAGAAACCCTTCCTCTATAAGTCTCCTCTTACATCGGTTCTTAGCTTGAATACAGTATAAGAATCCCAGAAACCCTTTCTCAATAAGTCTCCTCTTACATCGGTTCTTAGCTTGAACACAGTATTCATACACCCTTTACAAGGACATCGAATCATAGTACTCACCCTTGGTTGGTCGAATGCCCAAATAAGAAAACCACCTACTCCATCTCTGTATCTTTGGTCTCTTCTATTCCTAAGATTCAACCAACTTTTATCCATTCCAATTTTTTTAGGATAAAAGGCAATCAATTAATTAACTAAAAGTGAAGTGCAACAAGAACCAACATATCAACAAGAACATAAGTGGAAAATATGAACAAATCAAATCACCCATAAAAAATTAGC